CTTTCCCATTTTTCAGCCATCGCATGGTCGGTGTTGGGTTTCCCATGGCCGGACAACGAAATTTGACGGTGTTGGCTGCTGGCACCGCATGTAGCCTTTTCTCCATTTTATCCGTATGTGTCCAATAAGGTGCCCCTGTTTCAAAGACAGACATCCAGAAACATCAGTACTTGGACACCGAGCTCCCTTTCCAGCCCCTTCCACGGACGTAAAGCACTGCACGTATTCATTTTAGCAGAGCCAGCATAGTTTAGAAAGAGCACACAACTGGAAATCGTATGTCACAAGAGTTGACCAGAGTTTTGCAAACGGCTCAGTCTGCAGCCCTGAGTATATAATTTATGATAAAATTCCAATAATTAACCACAGATATCCTTTGGTTTGTGTACGTCAAGTAAGACAGAGGGACTGAGTTTTCAGCAGACTGAAATGATGGGACGCTTTTGACCTCAAGCTGAATTACCGTGAGTGCTCAGCAAACTCTGAATTCTTGGGCCTCAGCTGTGAAGACCAGACCAAGCCACAAGACCTGTTGGAAGTATCAGCCTTAACCTTTCCCCATCTGTTAGAAGGGGGATAAACAGAGCACTAAAACTTGTGTACGATGGCAAGGTGACCTGTTCTGCTACTGTCATATAAATCACTAAAATATATTTACAAATGCAATATATTTCCGAAAGCTTAACCAAAGAGGAAGAAACCAAATGACTAAACACGGATCAGCAAAACTCAGCAATAGCGTTGATCATTTTGCAGGGATTTCCCACTCTCATGAGCCTCTTGAAGCCCAAATGTTTAGTGATACCCAACACCACAACACAAAGCGAGACTGAGTCTCTGAGCCCATATTTACTGGGGTGATCAATTTTACCAGCTCCTGGCAAGACTCTCCTGGCTGTCTCACTCCTTCCCATGCCCTGGCCCAGCCTTTGCCCACACGAGGAGCACGAAGAGCACATGGAAAACCCCTCTCTCACCCAGATTCTCAATCATTTGTCACATGCTAGTACAGGAAACATAGCAGAACAAAATGTACAACTACTCATCCATTTTTACCCTCCTAGAAGTAAATTCGGATAGATAGATCCCCATACAAGGTTACCCCACGCCCCGGATCCATGCAGCACTTTGGCTGCCTTGCACAGCATCTTCATGGCTTCGCTTCAGTTATCTCACCATAATAGTTTTTAAAAAGTTAAAGATTCAAGATCTGTTAACAGTAGGAAACACTAATTTCTTTTACAATGGAGTTTTCCTGAAGCAAATCAGATTAGTGTGGAATTTGGGGGACTAAAAGGGTCCAGAAGAATAAGACTATTTCTCTCAGCCCTGTTTCATTTCCTTCATTAGCAGCCTAACACTCCACTATAAATAAACTCTTCCGTTCCTCAAATATTTATAGCAGTTCTTACAATCAGTGCAAACTCAGAAATCCTGCCACCTCCTCTCTAAATAAAAATACAGCTGGATAGAAAATACAGGAACAAATCCTTTAACAACGTCTCTCTCAGTATAAAGAAAACATTCCAAAAGCAAGTCTTACAATGATGCTAAGAACGATAAGTGATTTCCCTCCACCCCACCCCCGAAATGGCAATTACTGTTAAAATTAATGATGTAGAAAAGCAAAGTAAATTTGTGCATGTAATCACAACAGAAAATCACATAACTATTGAAAATTTAACCATAACACTAAGAAATTGTTACACAGACTTAAATGAACTAGGGATGCAAGGAAAATCACTGTTAGCATTAGCTGCTAGAACCAGGATCACATGAAAACAACAGAAGACTTCATACAAAGTCAATCAAAGAAATTAACTACTGCACACAAAGCCCAAATTGATTACCAGTATACCAGGCAAAGGCAGAATTACATGTTGGCACTAATATATTAACAGGAAATTTTCTCTGGATCACTAAACATCTTCCACAGGGCAATGTAAGACGACCAATACTGGGCCCTACCCACAACTCCCAGAGTCAAAGCAAACTGTGGCAGGTCAAAGCCAATCAACCATCCAAACCAGTTATGTTGGCATCTCAAACGGAGCAGAGTGCCTAGATTTGACCCTAGACAGGCAACACCAATCCAGCAACTTTGCAGCCAGTATGGTCGCTTCTCATCACGCCCACTGCGGTCACTTCTCATCATGTCCACCACAAGCACCTTCTCACATCTACAGAGCGTAAAAACCTTGGATGCACCCTCTGGCAAGCATCCAAACCACAGGCTCCACAGCTTGCCCATGGCTATGCTGCCCTGCAGTGCACAGGAGGATGGACCGCGCTCCAGAGAAGCTCCCACCAAGGTGCAGCCCAGGGCCAGGGCATCTGAGTCGGTCATTGGTCAGGATCCAGCCACCTCAAACGAGGCTGCTTCATGCGTGGGTTTCTACCACGTTATAGTGAGGCTCATCCTCTGTTTTTTTTTGCATATAAGCCCCCTTTCCATCAACTCTCATTCTTTTTAAAAGCTCTGCTCTTGGAAAAGAAGTGCTCTGATAAGCCTTGTATACAACAAACGCACAGGGAGGGAAAAACTTTGCTCCGCGGAAGAGGTGGGAGCAGAGAAGAGGCCAGGAGGATGCAGGCAGGAACAAAGAGAAGTGGCTTAGTTCTGCACCACAGAGAGAGGAGGGAAAGGAAAAATCCTTGGGCTGGTAAAAGGACTCTGGTAGGAAAGCTTCCCCTCGCACAACCCTCACATCAGCACAACCTACGACGCTCCTGAATTACCAGGGAACTTGGAGAAAAACCTGAGGACATCACATGTTGAAAATGCTGTCTGAAAACACTTCAAGACATTCTACCATTTTTCACCAGGAAGTAGCAACGTATCTTGGCGGCTCCTCAGTACATTAAAGGGAAAAGAGAAAAAACCAGCAACATCCATTAACCGTAACACTTGTACTCACTTTGTGCCTTCTTACAGCAGCTGATCCAATTAACACACGGCGTTTATTGATTAAAATCACCAAAATCTAGAAGCATCTTTTACTGCTTCTATTTGTGTTGAGATGAAAAACATTCAGATTGACTAAAAGCAAGAATGAACGTAGTTAATGAGTATATACCACCAATTTCCCTTACAGACCCTGTCCATCGCATCCCATCTCTGCTAAGAGGACAGGTGGAAGTAGGTAGCACCTCTGTTCAAAGTTCACAGTAAAAACGGGACAGAGCCCAGCACACAGTGGTAACGAGCAGCAGGGGAACGGGTGGGAATTCCTGATTGCTTTTGGAGCTCTCATTAGTGAAGAAAATATCCTGCTGACCCACACTGCACTCCGCTGCAAATACATTACATCTAATCAGGCAAATCTCCTGCATGTGAAATTGAAATTAGGCAGCCCAGGGGACCACTTCACTTCAGGACGCCTCAATTTTTATTTGGACTTATCTAATACAAAGAAATACAAAAGTAGTCCACTCCAAGCCTGCCTGACGAGCACCTCGAGCAGGAAACAGTGTGCCTGAAATGACCACATCAACCCCCCCTCCCTAAGGTTTTCAGTACTATTGTATTTGACCTTTAATTAAAAACCACTTCTAGGCAACATCCAATTTTTGCTGCTCCCTTGAGTGGGTTTCCACTCTACAGGATTTGATGAATTTGAACCTTGTTGCATCCTTTCTGAAATTCTTCAAGGCATGAAGAGAACAGCATGTGGATTGCATTTAGATACTTTTTGTTCTTGGTGCCAATTTACCATTGCTTGGCCCAGAAGAAATTGTTTAAAGCGGGATAAGAAAAAAAAAAAAAAAGCCATAAAGCTTCCAGTCACCTGACCAGAATTCATGGCAGAATAGCAGCATCTTCAGGGCTACCCAGGGGCCTCCAGAATAAATTACTGTTGGTGGACCTCAGTGCAACCATCATGAGAGCTGCTGCCTTGCCAGCACCAGCCAGGATTACAGAAATCTCTTTAAATTAGGGCTACCTCTCAAAGTAACAATAAGGATGAGGCGACAAATACCAACAATGTACTTTCCACCGCTGCCAGCAGAAACCAATGACAATCATCCCTTAGCTATGTAGTAGGAGGAAGTCCTAGGTCAACATCTTTGGAAGTGGTCCTCCAGAACTAAGCTGAGGCACCTATTTAGAGCAACAAAGGGGAAAACTGGAGTTGCCAACTTAGCCATTTTGGGGAGAGAAGGGCCTATTTTGCAGTGGAACCAATCCTGCACCTTCCTCACAAGCCCTAATCCCTTCAACAAAAGCTGGAAGTAATAAAAAGCTATTCAGGATGCAGTCTGGAACAAATCTACCACAGCGTTTTTTCAGGCAGTTAAAATATCTGTCAAACTAGAAGGACACCAAACGCGGAGTGAAATCTGCTACGCATGCCTCTTACTTAAAAATACACACAGGGCAAACGGTCAAACGCACACGTGCACACATGAGTACCCTCCTCTCCCAGGAGCGAGTAGCTCCTCACAGCTACTGAGCCCTTTGCAGCCTCCGCTGACTTCAAGAGTGGTTGTATTTTCTGGGCAGCCTTGAAAATTCGGCAAGATTTCCTCAACAGCCTCTCCGACAGCACTGGAAAACCTTGGCCTCTGAAAAAACGTATTCCTAACAGAGGAAAAGAAAAGTAAGAAAAAGCTTAAAAGAATACTTACCATCGCAAATAAAACAGCTCTAAAAGGTTTGCTTTAGTTTTAAATATGCAGGAATGAGAATGCCAAGGTTTAGTTTCCTGTGGAGGGCACTACGGCCATTTCCTGCCTCATCACATCATAATTAACATGCCAGGACAGCTGGACTTTATCAGAATTGTTTCATCAAAAAGCAACGACCGTTGAAGACTATGGCCTTTTGTTTCCATCAGTGAAGGCACAACCAGGCCAATTTCCATCGCTTATCCTTAATGGTCACAGCTGTAATTTGTATGTAAATTATCAGTTAAACTGTTGGAGATCTGCAAAGCTCAGGAAACACTTAAAGACTTCTTCTCTTAAACAGCAGCAGCCGCGACTCTTGTGAGGTCCTGAACTTGCCCAGGCTCTGCCTGACACAGGCAGGAGAAGGTGGTGCAGGACATTTGACCATTACAAACCATCATCTGCCACGTGGCACACTGGGACAACTCCTCAACTCCTCATTCACTTTTCAATGTATCTTGCAATAGTTTCTTAAATTAGACATGGCCTTCTGGATGACATACAAAATCTAGAAGAGGAATGGCAAGTAATACTGATGGGAAGGCTTAGAAGACACGAGATGCACAAGTTTCAACGGTTTGCAAAAGCACCACACCAAGTCCCACCCCTAACTTTCACACAGCTCCGATCTTGCCAGATCACAACCCTCTTTCAGCAAAATCATATTAATCCAACTGAGTTACTATGATGCAACTTTTCATTGAAAACAGACGGCTCGCAGGGACGTGGTGCCACCATCACTCTTCCAGTTCCAGCTCTTTCAGGGGAGGAAGGCTGCGCTGCTCCCTGCGCCCATCTGCAGCCTGCAAGAAGCCCCAGAAGTTTGTGGGCACCTTGTAAAGAACAATCTCATGAGGATTTGTTTGTGCTCTGCCCTGCTCCCAAGCAATTTGTCTTCTTGTGGTTTCCTCCCTTCCACACCGCAAGCGCCTGCGCTCTCCCCACCATGCGAGACGTCTGAACGTTCACACTCTAGAGGCATCTTTCATTTTGAGCAGGGAAAGTGCGACTGACCCCTGCTAAAGCACAACCCCCCCATCCCTGGCAGACGGAAATTGTCAATGGCCTTTCACCAGCTCCTGAATCAAGATTGATTAGCGGTAGCTTAAAATGATAGCTCATGTTACAAGAACATCACCAGTGCTACAGAAGACACCGTGGGGTAGTTCTCCCTGTTGTGCAAAAGGGCAGGAATAGTTACCATGACATTACGCAGCATAGTTGCTTCAAGATCAGGTCCTTTTCTTTTTTTCCCCTCACTATACGCACTTCCACAATCCATTTCTGCTCATGGTGGATCTCCAAGGCCATCGGGATGGATTAGAAGCACAATCGTCATCATTAAACCCTTTGCAAACCCTTTTCTGACCAACACCAACAAAGCTCTAAAGCGGTAACGGACACAGGGATGTTTCCTAAAAGGAGTCTCTACCCACGAGTCCTTTCCAGGGGACTGCTGACTGGGTTGATGGGTTTTGCCTAGACAACTGCTTTTAAAAGCAGTGTCCCTTTTCCAAACTCGCCAATTATCTCTGCCACCGCATTCCTTTGTCAGAGCAGCCTCCAGCTGCTTTATCTCAGCCACTTCAAGCTGCACCTGTGAATCAGAGCGGGTTAATCACACTAACAGATGGCAGGGGCCAAACAGGCAGCTAAGAACTTATATCATTTTAAATAGCATCTAATGTTTCACAGCTTCAGACCAGGGGCAGCCGTATCCAACAGGAACTAACCAGAGGAGCTGAAATTTAGCATCCCAACAAGCGTTTCAAGCTTACAGTATAGCTGCTGGTTACTAATCAGGCTGAGGAGCAAATATACTACCCGGCTACTAGCTGACATCTCACACGGACGTATTTCTGTGTTCTGCCTGTTGTTGACTTCACAAAGCACGAGCCAGAGCAAACTACCAGTCACCGAGGGGATTTTGCAACAGTGCATAAGGAACCAATATGAATTTTACTTTTTTTTTCCTTTTTTCTTAGCGACTGCTCTATTTAGAGCCTATTAATAGCTTTCCAAATTCTCTAAAGGGACCGAAGTTTAGCATTCAGATAGGTTTAAGACTCTTTTAGCCCATTTTCATCATGCATAAGTAACAAAATGCAGTCTTAGTGCTGGATTGCTTTCTTTGCGACAAACCTCGAAGTCCTTTGCAGACAAAAGAACCTCATTGTCTCCAAATTCATTCTCCCCAGGGAGATTTCTGCCGAGATTAAGGATTGAAGGATTTGCCTCATTACGACTTAATTTTATTTTTAAAGTTTCCATACCACCTTTTAACAGAGTGAGCTGGATCTTTGTTTCTTCTGTTAAATTTCAGCTCAGGTTCACGGAAAGTCAGTTCATCTGTTGAGAGTCTAAACCAGACAAAGACTGAACTTCAAGTCAGGAGGAAAGGAAACTGCAGAAGAGCTAGCAAGAAGGGAGAAAGAAAGTACAGACCAGCAAAGCAGGTTTAGAAGAATATTAGTTTATTTTTCTTTTTCTTTTCCAAGTTATGAACTATGTGAAACAGAAAATGGAGAAGGACAAAGATACTACTATTTGACAGCCCATGCGGTTAACAATCAAGAAGTTCTGAAGGCAGGAGTGCGAAAGACGGGACGCTACTTTCCACGTGGATCTTGCTAGTGACTTCTGGCAGTTCGCTGTTACTTACTCATCTGGTTGCTGTCGTTCACAAAGTCCTCAGACCCATCATTGTCGTCTTCATCATCTCCAGAGGAAAGAGCATCTGCACGTTAAAAATAATCAAGTCTTTAAACGGGCCTATTTTTACAGACAAATAAAGCAATATGCTACATCTTAGGTTATCTATCAAGGAGAACAGATGTTCTGTTAGTTGTGCAGAAGCTATAGAAAAAAGAAAATCCAGCCACAAAATGTGTGCTACTCTTATAAACTTCTAACAAAACTAGCTGATAGTCCTGAAACTCTACAAAGTTTCCAAAGGAAGCTTGGTAACTCCAAAAATCTCTTTCCTCTTACAATTTTTATTTGTCTTAAAGACATTTTGTTGAACAGAACTGAGGGTCTCCAGAGCAATTTATCTCTAAATTTAAAGGATGTAGGACACCCCTTTTCCTCTTCTGATGGAAAGGGAAGGGGGGTGGGGAACCCTTGTATTCATTCTACTGGCTTTATCATCATCACAGAGACTCTGTAGAATTTAATGCTGTCATAGTGGCATAAAACAGAGAGCTATTCAGCAACTGTTAATCACTATAGGTCCCATGAAGTAAAAGAAGTATATACTGAGTCCGCTTCAGGGTCAGGAGAAGGAGGAAAATACCTGAAATAACAACAGAACTCAGCTCAACTCGCTGAGCCCAAGGACCGTTTCGTATTATATCATAATGTTCTTTATATCAAATTTTACAGTTTCTACATGCAAAAACCTCTGTTTAACTCACTCACCTGTAACATTTACAATGAAGTACAGAGTATCACTGTCTAGGGTCCTAACAGCAGTGCAAGCATAAAGGCCCGAATCTCTGGGTGTAGCATCCTTAATTTGTAAGTATTCCCCAATAATCACTGTCCTATTGTCGGGCCCCAAAGGGACCCCATCCTTAGTCCAACTGATCATGACGGCGTCTTTCAATTGACAGCGCAACTCAAGCGGTTCTCCTGGAAGTGCTGAATATACATCGGGCTGAGAGATTTGGTATTTGGTTGGCGGCTCTGCGAAGGTGGAAGGAAAGGAGGAAAAAGAAGGAAGAGAAAGGAAAGGAGAGAATTTCCAACACAAGTCAGTGAAGGCCCTTTTCATCCACAGAAATCAAGTTATGTTCAACAAAAAAAGTTGCACCCAGATTAGCCCAGCAACCTGTCTCGTAAAACTGAACCATATACATGTATGGAATAGGCTTTACTTTCAAGAAGTTAACCACAAACAAAGCTCGTTCCCTTTTGATGAGGGTCTCAGCACGTGCCTTGTCCCCAGCGCCACGCAGAGGCACAACCCTTCTCGCCGGTCACAGCGAGC